GGTGCTTTACGATTTTTTTTAGTTTTATTTCATTATTTTAATTCAAACTTCTTTCCATTAACTAATTTATCTAAAATACAAGGTATTATGCATAACAAAATATAAGTTTAATAGAAAAGACTCTTTTAAAGCCTTCTTTTTTTGTCAAGAGAGAATGATTTGGCTATCTCAAACAATTAAAAGGTACTTAAACATATTGATGAGCTCAATTAACTCCATTTGATGCGATTTTTCTGTTGACTTGTTGTTCTGAAAACTTTTCTTTATTTGAAAATACATTACTTCTTATACATGTTGGCTCTGTTGAAATTATTCTTAGAAATTTTAATATGATATGGAGGGGACAATTTTGTGATAGACATTAAGTTAGTGTTTTGCACACAAGAAAGTCCCTGTGGGGTCGCCTCCGCTCCGATTCCCGACCAAATGTTTGCAGACCCATCCACCCACGTAGAGCGCCCGCTGCCCACTTCATCAAAATCCGAACATTATTGAGCTTGAATACAGTGCAAACTGCGCCTGCTGGAGATCCAGCGCCTGGAGCCATCACACATATGTCCATCCATCGTCGAAGACGACAGCTGCAAGAGATTGCCCGGGCCAGTGGCGAGATAGGAGGAGGGAGATGAGTCCAAGGCCATGCCAAGGCGCTCCACGATGGATTAGGAAGCTTCCGTTCCCTGCAAGGAAGCGCAGGGATGCGAGCGCCATCGTCATCCAGTTGGGAAGCGCATCGCGTTGTTTACTCGAGTCGGACGTTATCCTTTTTTGGCAGTGGCCGCTTTGTTTTGTTATTTTTCATGTCAGTCAAAGAATTGGCAACGAACATGGCCGATGAAATATGCTACACATATATGGGTGCCGAGCCACTAGGGACAAACTTGGTCGTGGTGGACATTGCATCAATATTGAAACGTCAACATCAAACTCGCCAGCGGCCAAATGGCGCTCACATAGACAAAGGACCAAGCAGCTGGATGCTGGATGCTGAATACTGGATGCTGCTCCGACCCGAAAAAGCTGATGAAGAGTTCAAATTTTTCATTGTATGATTTGACGAATGAGCTGTCATCTCGAATTGGAAACTTGCCATCTTCGCCGGACAACTCAGCACAGCACATAGTCTTTCTTAAGAGAAAATGTTGATGGCAAAAAGTTTCCACTATTTCGTTTGACGCTTCGTTAGGAGGAGAAATGAAAAGGCAGATGAGTGTGGTTTGTACGGGTTGAGTGTACATACATTTTTTTTTAAGAAATGCTTACTTTGCTTGTATTTAAATATCAAAGATAAAAATTAAAGATAATCAAATAGAACAAGTCAATAGGGGAAGTCCAACGGCTTTATAGGGTATTTGAAGTGCCTTATTATGCTAGAGATTATAAAAAGTTTATCACAAATTCTCAAAGCTTAAACATTTAACTAAGTTAACGAATTTTTCTGTTAAGAAATTCACAATTTATGGATAAAAACTGCAAAACTTTGACACAAGCTACAATGTCCAACAGAATCCCTTAAAAATGGGCAGCCCCTTCTGTGTAATGTGTTTTCCGACTATTGACGGCTGGGGAAACATTTTATTGATCCCAGGAAATTCATCAAGATTCCTTCGGCCCGGCAGACGCTTCGTATCACTCTCACGTTCTGTCCTTGGAGCTCGCAGCTGACCCCTTTTGCGCCCGCTGATGGCTCCGTAAATGATGCAATAATTTTTAAAACTTCAGACGGGCACAGCACCACCGAGCTCAGGAAAATCAAGAAAAATTTGCCTTAGGGAGTTTTGTTCGTGGGCAAGAAAGGATTTTCGTCGCTGGCATACGTTTTGTTTGAAAAATCCAGAGAACATTACAAGGAGCTTGGCCTTGGTGCCTGGGTGCCGTGATGTATGATGGGTCGCTAAGAGGAGGCGGTGGACAGCATCTAGCCGTCAGCTGCCCCGCCAGTCTGTTGTGTCATGTCCTTGGGGGGGAAGGCAGGAAGGATAGGGCTTTCCTTCTCGTCATCTTTCACAGTCCTTACTGACCGGCGGCCCCGCCTCGGAGCTTTGTTAATGGCTCCGGTCCATTATCTCGTCATGTTTGTTACGAAATTTAATTACTCTTATTTATTTTTCACTGCCCGCCTGCCTCCGCGACTGCGTCCGCGTCCGCGCCCTGTTCTGGTTTATGATTTTCAGCTTCGTCAAAAAATGCCAAGGAAAAAATTAAATGTGAAAAAATTCAATTAAAAACACTTTTTGCATAAAGCGTTCTCGCGGCTTGCCTCGCCCCCATCTCACTTCCTCTCGGCGGTGCCGTATTTATTTTGCCTAATGGTTTCCCACTTGACCATAGAAGCAACCCCTCAAGAGACATGTATGTAGCTGGTCCCAGCGTTTTATTTATATTTTTTGATTTTTTTGGCCCAAATTTCATTTTGTTTTCTGTAATATTTCGAGACTTAATTGATTTTTATTTCCTCGAAGACACTCCTGATTCGGGGGAATATTTAAAGTGGAAAGGAAAGGCTCAGAGCAGTTACGTTCCCATTTTTCAAGTCATTGAGCAATCCTTTTTGAAATTAAATGCCCCACGGTGGTGCCGAGCAAGGAAACTTTCCATTGACCAGCAATGGCACTCCTTGCCTTCTCCAGCAGCCTCGTGCATGTCCATCATTTGCCTTTGTCTTTCGGCTTTGTTTGCGCACGCCATTCTTGCACAAAATCCTTGCAACCTCTAAAACCTGCCACGCCCTCAATAAGAACGCCCCGTCCCGCCCACCGGCATCCCTGCAGCTGTCAGTCAATGTGTCGTGTCACAGTGTCTCTCCATCTGTCTGTCACTTGCATGTCTGTATGTCTATTCTACGTGACACCAGCCGAGCGAATTTCCACTCCTCCCCTCGTAGCCCTCTGCTAGTCTAGCCCGCTTTCTTGCCAGCGTGCTTTCCTGCTTTCTTGCCTTCCTGCGCACTTTCTTCCCAGCTTCCTCAAGTTTTACTTGGCAGAAAAGAACGAGGAAGGCGGCCCAGGGAGCGGAGCGAGGGGCTCCTGTGAAGGATGCTCTGCAACCGATGGATGGATTTTTGGATTCGCAACTTGCACTTGGATTACAAGTCTGATTTTGATGCGTACATGTTTGTCCCGCTCTCGGAACGGAGGATGGGAAGTACACATAGCACTTGGCAAAGCACTGCGAGAAAATGATGTTAATTATCTAAGAAACTGCTTACATTTCAATTTTATTTTCAAGTATATGCAGGGACTACTAAACGTTAAATCGTAGAATATATCATGAAGATCAAAATTGAAGCACTACAACTTGAGGCCTGATGGATTCTCAAGGCTCTATAATTTATCATAAATTTCCAACTAGGATAAGGAGTGACCTTGAAAGTATATGTATATTTTTATTTGAATCGAAACTAGTACAGTTTAATTAAGTTTTCAAGCTTTATTTTCCGTGGTAGTGGCCCCAAACCCTGCCCCTGCTGTGGGTCAACCTCACACACATGTGCGGAAAGTGTGGGGACGCTCGAGTTTTCTTATGCCTTTGTCTGTGTGTCCTTTTATTATTTTATTCCCTGGCCTTATTTTAATTCACAGCGTCTGCTTGCCGCGTCATCCTCCTGGCATTCTTCTGGACCGACTTTGTCTTCGTGGCAGCCGCCTCCTTCGTCTCGGCAACATTGTCTCAGCTCGCATCCTTGCCAAGGATGTTCAGCCGCAGACACACACACAGGCCCATGTGAAAGTGGAAGTGCATGTGCATGTGGGAAACTGAAAGCCAGTGGCTCTTGTTGTTGGGTTGTAAGTGACATTTGCAATTTTCAAAACTATTGAATGAGTGACAAGTTCTGCAGACACGATTGAAACTGACAGTTAACTCGAGACTCGGCAAGGAGTGACTTGCACTGACTGTGGAAATATACATCTTCAAGAGTCCCACCAGCGATCACTGAATATTTTACACTTTCCAGAGCTTAAATGTGAATAATTCAGAGTAATCCTTTGCTATAAACACAATGAAATGAAATGCATGCTAGTTCCTATGACTAATTAAAGCTGCAAACTAAACTGCTGTTCTGCCATTAAATCGAACATTTCTGCCCGCTTAAATGTCATACTTAATAGGGACTGCATTCGGCGGCAAACGGATGCCAATGCAGATGACGAGGAAGGTGCTTCCAACCCGTCGGATCGGTGAATGACTCACTGGCCATTAACAATTTCATTTATTTTGTCGCATCGAATAAGTGTGCAGGGCTCGGTCTGTCGGGGACAGTCGAGGCAGTGTGTCTGTCAATGTCAACATCAATGTCACAGCGTCCTGGCCCAGACATTTTGACAAATAATTCAAACCACATTTTATAATGAATTTCCCCTGGCCACCGGAGCAGGATGGGACGTCGGGACCGGCAGATGGGCGTGACTGCAGCGAGGATGCACCTGATTAGCCCCCCTTAAACATTCTGCGGAAGATTTGTGGGATTCTCCTCAGGGGGAAATATTGCAAAAGCTGATTATCACATTTATTAGCGTTGCTTTATTTTTGGACTCGGGCCTTAAGTGCCAGAAGGCGATGAGTTGGCGTCACTCAGGCACACATCAGCCGCCCATAAAGAGATTGTTTTATTGACCAGATGCAGTAAGGTGTGTTGTGGGTCCGTCCGGCTCTTGGTGACTCTGGGATACTTGGCGGCCATAAATTTACAAGCACCACGGCGGTTTTTAGTTTCCCCAAAGGGTCCCAAGTATTGCCTGGTACTTAATAGGTACAAAATAAAAATTATTCATATTCCTATATGGCATCGAGCGCGTAAAGTTGACACCCGGTTAGTCATGCATCAGTCGACTTGTTTTAAAACCTGAATTTACATAATACGGATTCATAAGGCGACCCCAAAAAATCGATACCCGAGACAAAAGAAATATTGTTATTACCTCTGACAGCTGCCATCATATTCGATCGTATCGTCAATGTCAAATATCATTAAAAAGGCCAAAAATAACTTTTTAAATTTGTACTTTACGAATAATACTCCTGGCTGGGGACTTCGATTTATATTTTGTGTTTTGAGGAGGAAGCAAATCGGACTCTTAAGGGTTCAAGAAGAAGATGGGCGATGGCTTGGCCTCCTCACTATCTAGACTGGGCCAATTTAGCTCTCCAATGGGGAAAACAATAGACTTGAACTGACTGTAGATGTGCAATGTTTCGAAATGATAGCCATTCACAACGGCCACGTAGTTTTGCCGAGTTGAAAGCTGCTTGGAAATCGGCAAGAGCGGCACATGAATGCAGTTCAGGAAGAAGTGACTACAATCGAGGGCCACCACAATCTCATAGCAGCTATCCAGGCTTTCGTTCCAAACGGAGACGGAGTCAAAGGTCAGGGCCTCTCTGTGGCATATTTCGATGGCCTCCAGGTTGTTGCGAAAGGTGTGAAAGGTGGTAACCCCAGTGGGATAGCTCCCTAGATCGGCGTGGGTGCATTCGCAGACGAAAACCGGGGAAGACTGCAGTGGTGCCATGTCGGTGTCGGCAGCCTTGATTAGCTCCAAATTCAAGGCCTTGGCCTTCTCCAGGGACTCTAGGAAACTGGGATGCTCGGTTACCACCTCGTTGAGCGGCTGTAATTTCGGAAGGATGCGCCGCACGATCTCTTCGCGGAGTTTCTCCTCAACCAGGACCATGGCCACTATATTCGGCTTGAAGGGATTGTGAGCCGATTCGATTAGGAAATGCAGGGCGCTGTTGATGTCCCCGTCCTCATAAATAATCATCAGTTGGGGTGCTGAGGAGGAAGACCTTGGGCTTTCTTGTTCAGTGGGACAGAGAGACCTGATGCTTCCCGTGGGATCATCTGGGACATCTTCTGCATCGATATTCAAGGCATCGTCCGTCAGGTTATGAACCATTTCGTGGGTAATGGGATTATCCGGTGGCGTAGGCTCGCTCGCCCCTGACTGGGATGGGTGCTCCGAGTCGATCGATCGTGGAAAATATTTGGTAACATCAAACATGGTTGTCACGGGAATTTCTAGTTCTAGTATACTAATTTTGTTGTTCGATTTTCTATAAAAACTGAAGCAAAGAAGGAGCGATTCTTAATTTTTCACCAGTGCTATTTGAATATTATTTTTGTAAGCACAAGCGAAACGAAAATACTCAAAATGCCCGGCAGCCCCGCGCATTAATATGCGATACCCAATTATTTGGGCGTATCTAAAGCCATTTAATTTAAATTATTTAACACAACTAATCATCCCCCACGGGCTTAGAGAGTCCTTTCAGCAATGTGGGGGCTGCGGGAAAACAGAATTTAGTTAACCAAAACCCACAATGCTTTCTATTTGTTAATCGCCAAATATATGATCAAATGTGACAGTAAAATTAAAATATCACAAACAGATACAAAAAGGCCCAAAACGGGCAAAGTGCTTAGGCGGCGACCGACCAGAAACTGGCGAAACGAATTAGGATTTGTTGAAATTAGAATTAAAATATTATAAATATTTTGCCAAATATTACAAACTTTTTTCGACGGCATTTACAATTGCTCTCATTTTTTGCACAACAGCAATAAAGGGCGTGCGATTATGAAACAACAAAACAGGACTAACAGCGACAATTAAAAACATAGGAAACCACAGAATTATTATTTTTTGTTTGCGGGGGGAGGGCGAGCTGAGCTGCCGGGCACCGCAGAAATTGAATAGTAAATTCCCCTACTGGTTGAGGGACCTGCATGTGGACATCAAGTGCAGCGACAACGGGGGAAACACGCCTATAACTAACGATAATTCTGCCAACGATGACCATTTGCATACATCAGTACTAATTATAATAAAATGCCGAAAATAAAATTAAAATTAATATAGAAAGCCGATTATAAAACCCGGTTTTTACAAACAGACACACTCGTACATTTCGTGTTGTAACAACGACTGTCAAAAATAGCAAATCCCATAAATCAACAATGACCAAAAAAAAAGTAATGAAAATGCAAATAAAAAAGGACACCAACAGGCCTGATTCTGTACACACAACCGAAGACAAATAAATTTAAATTTATTTTCTATGTAAACATAGCTTTTGGTCAGAACAAATCACAGGCAAAACTATGAGATTATTGCCTGAGCATTAACCTTTTTGTTAGCCGGGATTATCCTGTCAAACTCGGCAAATAAATTGATCTCAAAAATGGGAGCCAGCGTAGTCAAGAAAGCTTCTGTGGTATATGGGGTAAGGGTTGATCTGCATTCTTCCTAATGAATTACTATCATTCTGGGTACAATTCCTTCAGCTGGTACTGGCCACAGTTCTGCGGATAATAATACCATTTAGAGTGGGTTCTAATGCCTTGAACGAATGCACAAATTGCACTGCTGCTGTAGTCACTTACTTCTCAGCCGCCAGTAGGGTTTTATTTATCCTCACAACTCTGTTTTTACTGAGCATTAGCTTGGCTGATCTTACTGCGGATTGGATTTCAGTGGCGGTGCGTAAATTAAATTTAATAAAAATTGGTAACTTGAGGTAACTTTTAACCAGTATATACCTCTGCTGATATACATGATGAGCTGGACGTATTACTCGTTATTTGAGCAAATGAAAAACGTGGAGGAAAGCTACGAGGGATTTATGAATGAGTTGGCACATTACTGGTGGAGCAACGACACATATTGGTTTAATCTTGAAAAAAAGGTATGATCTCTGGTCTTATAGAGATTAAAATCTTATCGAGATGTTTACTTAGCTGCAATGTTGTGGATTGGGAGGACCCCGAACCTATATGGAGTATCTGCGAAAAGTTCCCGGGCACTGCTACAATCCCCAACTCATTACTTTGGGCTGTGGGCAAATGGTTCACGACTTGCTAGATCCAATGCTAAGAATCGGACGTCTTATGCGTATTATAACACTAGCAATTGAGCTATACCTACTGTACTTTTATGGTGTTATTGTGTGCAAGAAGCTGGCCAGTTTGATTGCGGAAAGGCATCCCAACAAGAATGTTTCTAAGCCTTTACTAAACAAATCCCGTTGAAAGGGCTTTACATGTTTTTATTTAGTTTTTGTTTTTATCTATTCCACCTACAACAGACAACCTGACCTGGCTGATGACAAACTTAAATGGGTCCCATGAAATAAATTGAAATTAGCTGCCTTTTGTTGCTGTTGACAATTCGAATAAAATTAATATACATTTTCTCACAATTTTAATTAATAAATGTCAAATATTTTGCATATGGGCATTTGTTTGTCCGTTTATTTGTCTGATTTATAAATTACAATTTTTTTTCGCCGTTTTTGTCGACTGTGTCTGCTGTGGCATTTCATGGAAAATTGATTTTGTTGTTGTAGCTGCGACGATAACAAATTTCCCTGGCGCCAAACATAAAAATCGGGAGCTCTGGGTGAGTGAGGTGAAAGAATGGCGGAAACATACTTTGGACTCGCATAGCGGAAACGGAAGTCAATATTAGTAGGCAAAAATGAATATTCACAATCTCGAAACAATTCACATTAAGCAAAACGCGCGCGAATTTTTGACAATTGCGCAAAATTATTAATGGTCAGATTCTGCCGCGTTTTGCAGCCCCGAATTATTGCCGCTGTTTCTTTTTTTTTTAGCTGCAATTTTATTTATATAGATGAAATCAGGAAATCAATTTTGGGAAATTTATGACCAAAAAGTCATGCTTTGCCGGTACTTTCTAAGGTAGATAAATGAAAATTGCTTTCGATTAAACTAACAATTTGGTTTAGGCTATTCGAAAATATGTTTATTGGGGTGGTTTGAAGACTTTTGAATTTAAAATGTTGGGCTTTATGATAAACTCTTTTAATTTAATTACCATAAAAATTAATAACCAAATACCAAGTATCTAAGCATTGTGAGTGTAATGGAATGGACATGGACTGGGCAACTTCACTTTGTCCAATTATTTAAGCTCGTATTTATGAAAAACTTAAATTAAACAGGCCGAAAGAAAAGAGAAAATATTAAAAACTTAAGAAAAACAATAGTTTTTTTTGTAGCTAACAACATTTTCTCAAACTAAAAACCCTTGCAGGGTATAATAATTTCAGTCTGAAGTTTGCAACGCAGTGAAGAAGACATTTCCGACCCCATAAAATATATAGATTCTAGATCAGCATCAACAGCCGAGTCGATCTAGCCAAACTAGTCCCTCAGTTTTAAAGCTATCTAAATGAAACTTTGTATATAGTCTTCTATATACTCTCACTGCTATATGTGTCGGAACGGGCCGGATTGGGCGACTATATCGTATATAACTTGGCTGAGATATGGCAAAATTATATTATTTCAAATTTTCGGTTTCAATTTTATGAAAATCGGACGACTATATCATATAGCTGCCATAGAAACGATTGGTAAATGTAGGGAATATGTAAAGCTGGGAATGTAAAACAGGCAAAATGTTATGAAACTCAGTTTTGTGTGCGTTTTTAGCATTATATTTATGCTATACATATAAATATTTTCTTTTATTTTTTATTTTTAATTATCTAACTAGAATGGCTTGATTCTTAATGATCCAATTGCAATCTGCAAGGGTATACAAACTTCGGCGTGCCAAAGTTAACTGCCTTTCTTCATAATCCCAAAAATAAAGTCATATTAAGCTCATCTTAACACTTTCCTATTTGGTTTGCGGGATCCAAAGTCAAAGTCTGTCGTTAAATATTGTGAACGATACAGCGAAACTTTAACGACTGTGGGTGAGTGTGACGGTGGTGGCTATGAAATCGCTTTGATTGATTGCCTTTCCCGAATTGACGACGATAGGAGGACCGCACGCTTGTTAACTCTGTCAGTGTTAAATTTAAAAATATACACACATCGTGTGCGATAAGTAGGAGCCGGAGTGCCGGGCACCAGCCATAAATACTCGGCCCTGACGAAAGAATTTCTTATGACCTGTTCGAAATTCCCGACTGTAACGGTGGGGATGGGGACGGGGATGGGTGTTTGCAAAATATTTTGTGGCTGGCAAGTGTCAAACATTGGCCATCGCCCAGACAGACAGCCATCAGAGCGGGACTTATCATTCGCTCATAAAAATGTCAAAACTATCACGCTGACATTGACTGATGACGGCCACAGCTCCGAAGGCTGAGACGGAGTGGTGTGGCATTCCACTTGGGCTCCCTGCGCGCAGGATGCCAATGTTAAATGCCTCGGCTCCTCCACTTGTCACATATCCAGCATTGCCATCATTCAGCACGCATCCTCATGTTGAGTGATTCCATTTCATCTTGCCCCCTCGCGCTGCCTTTTTACGGGTGGCACTGCATTCAGCCATCCATCTATCCGTCAGCCGAGTGAGTCAGAGCTGCTCTCGGAGCCATCAGCATAACCTTTCGCCAGACTCCTCTGCTCGACATGATTCATGGCTTCGATTGAATTTTGATTGACAATATCGCAAGCATTTAACGTGTCTGTTTCCGCTTTCCGTGTTCTATGAATATTTTTTGCTCCTTTTCCCAGCCAGTGGAAAGTGACTTTGAGTGCGGATGGCAAGGCTCTTCGAAGTGATTTTTAAAGTCATTTGTCATTTGACAGATGAGCGTTTGATTGACTTCGATGGCTATGAATTCATTTCAGGGAGAGGCTGACTTCTCTTGAGAAAATTTATTGGCCTACTTGGAGTTTTTGGAGTTTTGAGTCCAGTTCAGAAGACAGCTCATGTTCAAATTGTTCTTTGTGTATTCATTAAATTAAATAAATTACCATTTAGTATTCTCAATCTTTTACAATATTCACCTAATTTCTAATAATGAGCCACAATAACTCATTGCTGATAATCGTGAATTGTTTCAGCCATTATGTTGACAATGGGAAAAAACTAGTCCATGTAAATTTATAACCATTAATATGTATGTCACACACTCACCGTTCCCGATATCGATTACAAACCCCATTAGGAGCACCCACTCTTTCGACTTGGACGTGCACATTAATTAGCGATAAGATCGCCTCGGTCCTCCGGCTGTGAAAATATCAATTTCATTTTGACATTGATTGAATTAATTTATGAGCTGTACCTCTCCAGCAATCCGCACGAATCAGCTTATTTATGGCCGCCTCCAATTCAAACCAAATCAGAGCGATTTGAGTGATTACCAATGTGACCAATTCGAGATTTATGCTCCGAGTCGGAACAAAACCTGTTGTGCCAACAGTAAATCTAATCTATTCGTTGGCTCTGATAAGGATGTTTCAAGTTATATCACTGGTAAATCTGGTGAATTTAAAGATACCGAGTTAAACTCAAATTTACCAAAATTTTGCAAATTATTTGATCAGAATAGTTCAAGATTTCACTGTAGCAATATTAATTAAAACAAGAAAGAAAACTAACTTCGGCACGCCAAAGTTTATATACCCTTGCAGTTTGCAATTGGATCGTTAAGAATCGCGATTTACATTCCCAGCTTTACATTTCTCTACATATACAGATCGTTTCTATGGCAGCTATATGATATAGTCGTCCGATCCTGCCCTTTTCGACATATATAGCAGTGAGAGCATTTAGAGGACTATATGCAAAGTTTCATTCAGATAGCTTTAAAACAGGACAGATGGACAGACTTACATGACTAAATCGACCCGGCTGTTGATGCTGATCAAGAATATATACACTTTATAGGGTCGGAAAGGTCTCATTCACTGCGTTGCAAACTTGCAAACAAATTATAATACCCTGCAAGGGTATAACTAGAAAGAAAGCTTGTTTTGGGAAGCCGAATTATGTACCCTTATAGTTTTTAATTAAATCATTAAAACTCTATTAATTTCGATAAAATATACGAAGAAGTTTATTGTTATTATTATTTTATGCTGATTATGCGAAGTTCTTATATAAATTGACAACTCTTACTGTGAGGGACAAAAAGACTACGGAATAAGAACTATAGAGCTTATTAAAACTAAACTCCAAGCTGCAAAGTATTTAGCCTTGAACCTAAAGTCTTTAAATTACTTGTAAATAATTTGTAGTTTATGCTACTATTTTGAGAAGTTTAAATGTGTCATCGTCAGTTTTGTCTTACCTCCTTAAAAGGTGTTTTTGTTCAATAACCAGATCGGAACACTATATCAAAAGAATAAGAAAAGTACATAGAAAGGGGAAAAAAGTTTTCTACCTATCATCTACATTGGTTGACAAAAAATAACTAGAAAACAAGAAAGGAAGCTAACTTCGGCACGCCGAAGTTTGTATACCCTTGCAGATATCATTTCATTACATTTTACCTATACTTATTATGTTTACAGTTTGACAGTTACAGTTTTACATTCCCAGCCTTACATTTTCTCTACATCTATCGATCGTTTCTATGGCAGCTATATGATATAGTTGTCCGATTTTTATGAAATTTATACCAAAATTCTAAAATAATAAAATAAGCTTATATCTCAAATACGTTGAAAAACAACGAAGTTATCATTTTTTTCCTATTAATTTCCCGATCGTTCCTATGGCAGCTATAAGATATAGTCGTCCGATTTTCGTGAAATTTTTACCAAAATTCAGAAATAATATAAAATGGCCATATCTAAAAAATGGTGCAAAAATGTTAAAAAACATCCAAGTTATAATTTTTTTTCTAAAAATTTATCGATCATTTGTATGGCAGCTATATGATATAGTCGTCCGATCCGGCCCGTTCCGACATATATAGCAGTGAGAGTATATAGAAGACTATGTGCAAAGTTTCATTCAGATAGCTTTAAAACTGAGGGACTAGTTTGCGTAGAAACGGACAGGTGGACAGACGGACAGACGGACAGACGGACAGACGGACATGGCTAGATCGACTCGGCTGTTGATGCTGATCAAGAATATATATACTTTATAGGGTCGGAAACGTCTCCTTCACTGCGTTGCAAACTTCTGACTGAAATTATAATACCCTGCAAGGGTATAACAAGAAAGGAAGCTAACTTCGGCACGCCGAAGTTTGTATACCCTTGCAGATTGGTTTTCATATTTATATTATAGATTTAAATGCTGAAAACACACACAAAACAGAGTTTCATTACATTTTACCTATACTTATTATGTTTACAGTTTGACAGTTACAGTTTTACATTCACAGCTTTACATTTTCTCAACATCTACGGATCGCTTCTATGGCAGCTATATGATATAGTTGTCCGATTTTCAAATTATTGTTCCCAAAATTCTGAAATAATACTAAAAGCTCATGTCTCTAAGTAGATAAAAATACGTTGAAAAACAACGAAGTTCTAATTTTTTCTTTTACTTTCCCTATCGTTCCTATAGCAGCTATAAGATATAGTCGTCCGATTTTCATAAAATTTATACCAAAATTCTGAAATAATACCAGAAGCTCATGTCTTAAAGTAGATTAAAATACGTTGAAAAACAACGAAGTTATAATTTTTTTCGATTAATTTTCCGATCGTTCCTATGGCAGCTATAAGATATAGTGGTCCGATTTTCATAAAATTTTTACCAAAATTCTGGAATAATATAAAATGGCTATATCTCAAAAATGATTCAATAATATTGAAAAACAGCCAAGTTATAATTTTTTTCTAAAAATTTATCGAACATTTGTATGGCAGCTATATGATATAGTCGTCCGATCCGGCCCGTTCCGACATATATAGCAGTGAGAGTATATAGAAGACTATATGCAAAGTTTCATTCAGATAGCTTTAAAACTGAGGGACTAGTTTGCGTAGAAACGGACAGACGGACAGACGGACAGACGGACGGACAGACGGACAGACGGACAGACGGACAGACGGACATGGCTAGATCAACTCGGCTGTTGATGCTGATCAAGAATATATATACTTTATAGGGTCGGGTCTCCTTCACTGTGTTGCAAACTTCTGACTGAAATTATAATACCCTGCAAGGGTATAAAAATGTATTAAATATTTTATTTTATTTGACATAGTCGTCCCTTTTAAAATTTTTTTAATTTTCTGATTTTTGTTAAGGCAGCTACATATGTATGTATATGATATAGTGGTCCGACATACATACATATACATACTATACACATATACACACAAAACTATCTGAAAAATTCCATTCAGGTGCCTTCCAAGCTGAGGGACTAGTGTGGTAGAGACGGAACGACGCACATGGCTAGATCCACTCGACTGTTGATGCTGATCAATTATATTTACAGGCCTGCTCCGGTTATGGCTTTTCTTTTGCCATTTTCGTTATAGCCAGATTCATGTGCTGTCGGTTTTAGCTGCTCCGGTTTTCATTTACTTTTTAATTTAACTGATCCGATACCGGTCCTAGTTGTGTAAAATATAATTAGCAGAAAAGTTAAAATGTGTTCTAATTGTTATTTTGTGTGCTTAGGAGCAAAGCTAATGCTTATTTATTTTATTTGTTTACAAGAAGGTTCTCCCAACTTGTATGCAGTTTTAATTCCAGTGGTCTAAATTCAATTGAATTGCTCTTTATGAGTTTTTTTTACTAAAATGATACAGATATAATTATAAAACCCGTAATTGTAGCTTACTTTTACATTATTAATGGGCTCCTTTGCATTGTCTGTTTACCTTGAGAATTGTGTTGGTAAACGAAATTTGTTGTTGCCATCCCGACAGAAAATTTTTAATGTTAAATGCAAGGTAGGGTTAAAAAAAAATGATTTATGAAATAACTAGGTGCCAGATTGATCTAGTGATGATGTGGAATGAACACCAATAGACCAATGAATAAAGTATTTTTATCCCTTACCAAATAAGTTTAGATTTAATATAGAAAAAGGCACTTCATTTTCATTTCGACAAGACAAGAGTGAAAATCGGAGCAGGTACAAAAAATCTATCATTTATAGGTTAAATTTTTATTTGACCGAATTGAATCCATGCTTAATAATCCAATTTTATACTAAAAGGGTAAACAAGCTTCGGCTTCTCGAAGTGAGTTTTATTTCTTATTATTATTATTTTTATACGTGACCTTTAGCATTTGTTTTATGCTTTCTACGTTAGGTAACGTTTTACAAAGTTTACCCACATTCAATACAATATTTTTAAATACATTTGTATATATACCACACATATCCCTCAAGATTATAAACAATTTTTCTATTTTTCGAAAACGTAATACAACATTATTATTCATTTTAGTAGAAAATATACTATACAATTCACAAATGAAAAGCATAAAAAATCCAATGATCAACTGAATCAAGTATTGCATTTTTTGGCACCAATATTTTCCTCTGTATGCTGAATGGGCGACATGCTGGTGGGTGATCAGGAGGAGGACGTATTTCAATTTACTCATTGCACCGCTGACAGCGGAGAAGGTTTTGGACCTGTCCCAAGCTGAGGCCTGACAACAATCGCCAGCAATCAGCGGGAAATTCATTCATTTTAGGACACTTTGCAATAATTGAAAGCGACAAATGGTTTTTAATTATTTTTTAAAACTTATAACTGTGGCGTTGGTCCCCACTCCTGTGCGACCAGAAGCTCACTCACATGCGAATAAATTGAAAATTATTACGATTTTTTTCGCTTTGGCACTCGCATATTTTTTAATTTTAATTCAATTGCACTGACTCTCCGAATAAACTGACATTTTGACGCAAATTATCTCCTGTGAGCCCATGGGCTATTGCTGATTGTCTTTGAGCTTATTTGTTTGATTAATGAAAAGGATTTTCGCACTGTGTTTCACACCTCCACTTGTGCCACGTAAATTTGGCTTTCGTTGGGAGATAGTTTGAAACTTATATCTTTAAATTAAGAGGTGTTCTAACTGGTAGAACGGGAAGTTACTTTACTTTCAACCTTAAAAAAAATACCATAATTATCGAAATTAAATAGGTATTTTATTTCATTACAAAGTAGTTCGAATCCACAGTTCAGGTACAGAAGCAAAGAACTTTGATCCGGGGATCGCTGACACAGTGGGACTGCGCCTGATATGGGTTGACGCGGCTAATGGAGCTGGTCAACTTTAGGGCGTCCGATACACGGACGGTGGCCTCGAACTCTCCGTGCCCAGGAAGCGTCATCACCCGCAGCCTCAGCTCATGGTCGAAGGACTCCTCGCCAAAGTCCATGAAATACGCCATGACCACAGAGTGCAGCTTCAGTTCGGCACATTGAGAATGTGGCTTCGTCAACTGGTTGATGGACTTCACCAAGAAGCGACTGCAGCGGAGGACCAATCCATCGTCAAGGGGTATTTCGGTGTGCTTACGGCAGAAGCAAAAGAGTGAGGGGATGTGGGCCAACTCGCAGGTTCTGTATTCAGGAATCGGCAGGAAGAGACTAATACCTCGGGGCAAGTTCTCCGGGAGATGCGACTGGAGAGTTTTGTTCCGCTGCTCTATCTGGGAGTTTTGCAGCTGGTCCAGGCAAGTGATATCCCTCAGGGTTTGGTGAAGGTCGTAGGGCGTGACCAGGCTATGCGAGTTCCTCTCAAAATTCTCCATGGCCTGGGGATACTTGACCTTCAGCCAGTCGGGATATATGGCCAGCAGCAGGGGCTGCGACTCCTCCTCCATGCCCTGAAAGCTCGAGCGATAGTCACCGGCACGAAGTCCATGATCTGACATGAGAAACAAAATGGTATTGTTTAGTATATCAGCCTCCTGGAGGCTCTTCAAGAGCATCATATAGGGCTGATCCAACTGCGTTGCGAACTCATAGTACTCTTGAACGCCCTGCGACTCCCAGAAGAAGGAGAAAAAGGGTCGCTGCCGCATGTGGGGCACCAGCTTGGCAATGAAGTCCCTCAGGACCTCTTGGAACTGACGTCCAGCCGTGCAGTAAATCATCTCTCTGAGATCCAGGCTATAGCGCGAGTGACTGTGCATCTCGAGCAACACTGGAGGCAAGTAGAATTCGGTGGGTTCGCTGGGAAATTGTTTCTTTTCATTCCTTGTTGTGAAGAGGACCTCGGCACTATCTTCGCCGTAGGCTGTGCCGTAGCCTTGGGCCCGGAATCTCTCCCAGAGCCAGGCTTCCGTCTGGGACTCCGCTTCATCACTGCTAAATCCACTCAAGAACGGCATCAAATTGGCACGGGCATCTTGGCCCACGCGACTGTAGCCAAAGAACTTGGTGTGCACATTCTCCAGGAAGCCATTCAATTGGGGGAAGCTACGCACGAAGTGCATTTGGGAAATTGAGTCAATACCCAGCACCATCACAGACAGTTTTTCGGTTTCATTTGGCTTCAGCTTTCGCAATGGAGGTGGCAGGAAGAAGTGAACATCGTGATATATTGTGTCATTCGTCTGGTTCTTGCATTTGACCCGAACTATCTGCTGACCCTCGCCGATCGGAATGTCCGCGTTCGCTCCACGCTTCAGACTGAAGTGTCCTTCCAGCAACACTTTGTTGGATTGAAAGTCCTTGGCAGCCAGCACCCAGTATGTGCACTGCAAGTTCTCCAGCATTGCTTTGGGCACCAGGAAATTGGCACCCTTTCTGGTCCTTGCAGACATCAGCTGAGGTTTTCGGCACCGCAAAAGGTTGATCGGTTCCCCCGCCGGGGAATACCTAGCTGGACTCTGTCGGGCACTCAGGAAACATCCCGAATTGTTGACGAATATAATGTCTTCGGGTATCGCGATGGCCGGCCTTTCAAACATATCCATGTAGGGCTCGAGGCTGAAGTACAACAAGAAGAATATTCCGGTGAGAAGCATCAGTAGTCGCATAGACGTAGACATCTTGAGAGATTTAATTGTATAATTTCGGTTTGAGGTTTTGCTCAGGACTGAGTTTCCGAAAAGTTGAAGTCTCCTGTCAAACTGACTGGCCTACTAGAGCAGCCTGAAATTAATTACAACATATTTCTCTGATATTCTGCTGGCACTCATTGAATAATATCGAAAGATAAAAATATTTTCACAACCGCTCCGGGAAATTAATTAAAAGTGGAAACTAGAATGAATAAAAAATAAAGGAAAAATAAATCGAATATGTTGGCGATTGCTGATCCCACATTTTGATAATGGCAGTGCCAAAATAAAAAAGGAATTAAAATAAAGCCACTAATAAATAAGGAAGCAACACAACACAATTCCAAAATACTTTTTCCATTGTTCTAAATAAATAATGAGCACAACTGTACTGCCCCGAGCTCGGCTTAGTGATGTAAATGTGTGCGTGTGTCCATTTAAATTATAAAATCTAATCACCTTTGTTTAAAATTTAATGAACGCAATAATTTTAGAGGATTTCCATCCACATGCGGGGTCGGGGGCGGGGGCAGGGCTAAATCCAGGCGGGTAATTGGCGACAGCCCACAAAAGCGCGGGCGAAAAGTAAAAAGTGACCAGCAGACAGCATAAAAATAAAACATTTTCAAAAAACAAATAAAACCGATTCGTATTTATCGACGGCTGAACGAAACAAAAGAGATTATGGAAAAGCATGACAAAGGATTTTTTATTTTTATTTATTATTGCATGCAAATAAGCAGTTTACACACACCCGCCGCCAAATATTTGAAATGGCTTGTATAAAAATCTAGCAATTTATTTAACAAATTATCCATTTTAGCGCTGCTCGCTTTGTTTTGTCAAATGAGGTTAATTTGTGTTTAACCTCACGTGTACAGGTTCTAAGTGTGGGTAGTTTGCTGGCTCTGCCCACGGTTTCCACTGTGGGCCAATGCAGTAAGATGTGTCAACACAGCGCTCTTTCACAAATTGTTGGCATCACGGATGGAAAGTCCAATGGATGAAAATGAACAGTGGCTGCGTTCAGCAGAAAAAGTGAGCTCTGGTTCGGTAAGCCATCGTATAAATAATCGGCTTGAAACCTATCGATATATTAGAACTTCCTGCCAACACTCAACTAAATTTTTTATAAGGGTACGTTTGAAAACCTCAAAAACCACTCGGGAAATTCTAAAATGTTTCCTAAATTTTGGAATTATTTTTAATTATTGAAGAATAACTACCCAGCAGACAAAAACATTCGTTTTTGATATTGAAAACGATAGTTTTGCGGGTTTTAAGTGGACAAAACGTCCGATTTAGGCTCATAAACGATAATAAATTTAATCACTTGCCATGGGTTTTGTGGCAGAAAGTGCTAAATATTCGAAATCCGAATAAGATTTCGGTTGCGGACCTTTTACAACATCATCGTGTATAATCCTGAGAATTAGCGAAACTTGTCCGCTATTTGTCCGTTTGCGTGTCCTTTTTTGAGCATTTAGCGAAACTAATGCGAAAAGTCAGATTCTTTGTCTGTATATAATATTATAAGTGGACACTTTTTGGATCCATCCACACTTAGTCCGCTCTTTGTCTGCTAGGTAAGGAGTAACTAAAACCATTGAAGCCGCTTGCATGATCACGGGGTTGATGTCAATTGAAAACGCCACTTGGTTATCGATAACAAGTACGATTGCGTTTTATTCTGTAGAATAAATCGGTTAACTTAACAACAAATACACTTCATTTAGCTTTAGTTACATACTGCAGTTGCTCTTCCCACTCTCTGCGGATCTTTCAATCCACCAAAACTAGGCTTAACTTTACCCAAATTAGTGTGACCTTCCTCGATAAGTCCTTCACACAAATAATACTAGCTCTGAGGACGCATAATTCAAACATAACTAACTATCAATAGCCTTAATCCATGATTACCTATTTATATTTCCAAACAAATCAGGTTTTTCTTTTGATTAGTTTTTAAGCCGATGTTTAAACCATCGATTCCAGCCATACATGTTCAGCAGAACTATCATATGAAATCGATCAGTGATCAGTAATCATGCTCTAGCAACCAGTGACTTCTGTTTTACGAGATAAGTACTTTTATGAATATGTGCTGCTTACAGCACAATGTAGTGCTCAACAGACAATTTAAAGCACTCTGTTAATCTTTCATGTTAAGATATATAAAAGAATACTGGGAAATAGATTTATCATTTATAGCAATCACAGATCTTGTAAGATTCCAACGCTTAATTTTTATTTTTGAACCACAGTTCTTAAAGACGAATTTTCTTATTCAATGTGGTAGCGACTTTATAATTTCACAACTTCTGTATTCTTAGAGATGCGCTTACAGATTATTGTTATTTTACATAGGCTTCACAGAATAAGTATCGGTGTTGTACAAGTATCGGTATGAGCGTTAAGTTATCGGTATGGCCGTTAAAGTATCGGTGTAGCCTACTACACGAGTAATAATATATTTACAAAAAGTATTTTCCAGGTATGATATTCGTGCTTAATCAGGAAATAACTTCAGTCCTGTGAGATCCTGACACTACATATGAACATATATCCATAGGCACGACCGAACTCATTCGAATGCATCCAATCCAATATACATAATGGCAGAGGACATGCCAAAAAGCACCCCAGAGAGTGCGTTTGGAGAAGACGGTGATGGTGCGCTGACGTTGTCATCAAAATAAAAATTAATTATGCATTCTATGCGCTGCATTTGAATTGCTTTTGTTGTTTGTTACTGTCATTCCCATTTTGAGTGCGATTGTTGTGGCATTGTTGTAATTGCCGCGTTGTATCTGGCATTCATTCGCATTGTTTTTGTGCGGGATTAATGTGGCATTAAAGCGCCGCGCACACTTTTTAGCATTTGGATCTGATAACTGCGGGGCAAATAAATTACAAATATAATAATTAAGCAGCATTATTTTTGACAAAATAAATGCACACACACATCCCACATCTCGCGTCTAACCCCAGGCGGGGCGGGGCGGGGCGGTGCGGTGGTTATCGGACACACAGCTAGATGGCGCCACTTTGGGCGCGCTGCGTTGTTCCACTAAAAGTGCATTTGTGCATAGGAATTAATTACGCATAATGACAATTTGATAAAATTGAAAAATTACATTTTATTTAAATTGATTTATTGTAATTAAAAATTCTATAATGGCATCCTGGGTCCGAGTGCGCCGTCCATGCCAGAAATATGTACATTTGCGAACAATGCGAGTTTAATTTTATCAGCGTCCAACATGGTTGGTTATTGGATGATTTTACCACTGATTAGTTGAACAAAAGTATTCAAATAATTAGCAGCAGCATTGTAAGCGAATTAGATATATGGCTTAAGTGGTGCACAGATATTTCCTTTCCCATTAAGTGTGTACCACATTTAACAGGGATGTGTTTTTACACCATCGATGGTACTGATCTATATCACCTCTAATAGGGAATTCCTTTTAAATAATATATAGAATATTGGAGTACGTAAACCCATTATTACACATCACCTATATCTGAGACCTAACTTGCTATCCAAACTCAGCTTTCAGTTTATAATTATTAAATTATTTTAATTAGCAAGTTCGAATATACAAAAATGAAGACCAATAAGGGCAAATCTAATAAAAATAGAACATATAGGACAGCTTCTCCCTGAACCACTGCATAATGCCGACTCTTTTTCGTATAATCTCAAAATGATTTGCTTGTCCAATTTCCACTTGATGTGCATTTGATTTGACAACACTCTGATCCCTATTCTCCTCTACATCCATTGTAACAGTTGTACTTGTGCTTGTTGTTCGTTGTATGTTGACATTGTCATGTGAGCATTCTTCCAGAGCCTCGATAATGGCGCTTTCAGTCACGGGATTTTCAGGCTTTACCTTCACAGTGATGTCGCCGCCGTAGCCTATTTTTTGGCCATTATAGCTCAAGGCTATTTGGCAGTCTAGCAGGCTAAAGTATTTCAGATACATCAAGTTGGTCTCGGTGAAGCATTTGCCCACAATGTGGCCGATGTCGCAGAAGAACCTGTAAACTATATAGGCCCTGGCATACTCATAGCCGCTCACTGATATCCAAAATGTGTTTCTAGTCTCTTGATCTTTATCCTGAGCCGTATTTCCTTTAACGGGAATCTGGATCAATGTCTCCTTAGATGTTGCATCCTTGTCCTTGGTATTGTTCTTAACATCCTCGGATGCAAATTTTCGGCATGTACCAAAGAATTGTTCTCCATAGGCCTCCTCCAGAGGTTCACGCAAGTCCTTCGGCGAGGATTCTTCAGCGGAAGCAATGGAAGGCCACCGCTGGTCGGAGTTCATCGAATAACCCGCCAAGTGGTTCATCTCTCCCTCGTTTCAGGTGTTTATTTAATTTTTCAGTTCGAGGTAAGGTTAATTTTTAATAGTTGATAGTGACAGCTTTGTGCCATATTTAATTTTGACAAATTTAGAAAAGATGTAAAGGCTGAAACAGATGAAGTCGTTAAAATACGAGACCACTTGCATCATGATAGAATTATATAATTCTGTCATGACTTGCACCATGATAGATTCCGCACAATATAAATATTCTCATTCTGTGAGATATTCTGAGTGAAACACTCTTTGTTCCATATCAATAGCCTTGTTTACCTGCCCGCCAAATATAGCTTTGCAATATCTTTAAATTAAATTTCCATATTTTTCAGAACCTTGATAGATGAACCCAACGGCTGCTTATTTATAGACAATATGTGAATCATTTCGGTTCCTGAGGAAATACCAAGTATGATTTAGGTCGCGCCATGACCCCACCGCACTCTAGCCTCATCCAACCGAAATCATCCGACTAATCCGGGCAGGAGAACCGGCCAACATCAAACGGGCCGTGCACGCAGTTTTGCTTTATTTACGCATAATTTCGTACAATTTATGAGCTAGGTATTCGGCTTCCACACACATCAATTTGGACTCCTCGCGGGGCAGGGGCAGGAGCGGATCGGAACGGAACGGGACGAGTTCAAAGCGTTTCGCCCAGCCCCAGTCAATAAAATATTAAACAATTAGCTGATACAAATATAACTAATACTTGCCGGCGCCAACGCTGAAGTGGCCAAGAGCGGCTGAGAGTGGCAAAGTGGATGGGTGGCAGGGTGGCAGCAGTGGTTGCCACCCACAAAGAACCACAAAAAAGCCGCCGCGGAAGTGTCTTTCTCTTGGAGCCATTTTGGGTGCCATTAGCCGGGTCAGAGATTAAAGGCGGCTGCTTCCGTGGGCCAGGTCAGACGAACTTCAAACGGAGCAACCTTGCTAGCTCTCTCATCATAATTCCAGCAATCGAAGAGCTCCAATTGTTTATTTTTGGTGTGCAGTAGCAGCAGCATTTCTTTGAAGCAACCGCCTCTATCGAGCTCAGGTGCGATCTGACGGATCAACCAGGCACAGTCTGTGGTGTGTTATTTGCCCTTCTGCGTGTTCATAAACCTTCAGGCTGGCGAGGGGCTATTCCACGCGTTAATCATCCGCGAATCGGTGGGCTTATGATTGAAACTGCCTCAGATCAAAGACGAATCTCCCTTCTTGACCCTATAAAATCCAATGAGCTATTCGCCAGTCCACTGTGATCTATCGGTTAGACCAAAGGAACACTTTTCTCGGGCTGCCATTTACACGTTCTTTATCAGGTATTTTTCTGGTGTGATGTTATCAAAGCGCTGAGCACTGTAAATAATAATATATGATAATTTTTAGATCGGAAATGTGAAATCAGTGAAGATTCATGTACTTCATGTACCAGAAAGCAGGGAGCATAGCTATACCAGATATTTACTTAATCAAAAGGAAGCTTTTCGTGCCTTGTAAAGCATACACTAGTCGGCACAATTATTTTGACAAAACCTAGGTATGACTATTGAGCATAGCCCTGCTCAAAGTCTTCATATAACGGTGATAAAATTATGCGCAAAATTAAGAAGGTATATTTAGCTTTATGCATGCCAAATTTTATGCATTTTACTGTTGCCGTTCACTTTCTGCTAATTAAAATGCATGCAGACATCGAATTTTAACGCGGCATAAGTATTTTGACAAACCTATAGAGGACATTTTCTGAGGGAGTTGAGCGCGTGAACTCAAAGAACGCTTTATTATTTAATAATTTAATTATTTATAAATAAAAAAAAACTAAGATTTGTTAAAATTTATCTAAATTATGTGTAGAACGAGCGAAATGAATTTGTTTATTAAGTCTTTAATATTAGTAAAGTTTAACGAAGAAATTTAAGTAGAAGAAATTTCAAATGAGTTCAATGTGTTGCGTCAAACTGTTGATTATCAGATTTACAAGTTCAAAAAACATAATGACGTAAAGAACTTGAAAAGAACAAGCCCTAAGCGCAAAACAACTCTCAATGAAGACAGAATTTCCCTATGGGAATTAAAGAAAAATATTTTTCTGAAGCCTAATTCCGATGCAAATCAGTGGAATTACACCGCATATGATCTTAAAAGTGAGTGAAAAACAGTAAGTGGAACCAGAGTCCGTCGACGCATAAGGGAACAGGACCTTCAGATACTAAGAGCTAAGGATATGCCACATATTCCAAAGGCCAATAACCTTAAAGGGTGGAAAAAGCAGAAAAAGTTCTGGAGAGATGATTTATAACAAAGTCTTTATATTTTAAAGGTACAGAGGCCAAAAAAGTGCCAAAAGTGACCAAAGGTGAGCCATGGAGACGGCTTTGTCACGCTGTAGATATGCGTTGCCTATAGTGGGCATCTAGACCACTTGTTTTTGGTTCCCACTACCGTTTTGATGAACCAAGGATAATATTTTGAGACTCTGAATGCTTAAGCCTATGCTTTGCTATCTCTGGAAGGAAAGGCTAAACAATTATCATCATTTATTCTGCAACAGGATAATGCACTATGCCACAAACCCCATATGGTTATCAGTTGTTTAAAGGATGATGGCGTTACCGTCTTGAACTGGCTGTTCCAAAGTCTAGACTTTAATATTATTAGGATCATCTGGCCTCTTTTAAAACTCAAAATAAAGAATTCGTTGAAAAGAACCCAAAGGGAGGCCACATCTGAGGTAATTTCCCTTCGGAAAGAGATATCCATAAAGATCCTTCAAAATTTGGTAAATCCAAGGCCGAGACGACTTAAAAAGTTGTCCAAGCGAATGAAGAATACAAACTTTACCAATTACCTCATTATTACATTTTTTTCTTCTTAAACTTCTTTGCATTTTAATTTCTAAGTATTTGTCAAAATACTTATGCCACATTAAAATTCGATGTCTGCATGCATTTTAATTAGCAGAAAGAGATCGGTAACAGTAAAATGCATAAAATTTGGCATGCATAAAGCTAAATATACCTTCTTAATTTTGCGCATAATTTTATCGCCGTTATATGAAGACTTTGAGCAGGGCTATGCTCAATAGTCATCTCTAGGTTTTGTCAAAATAATTGTGCCGACTAGTGTAGATGTGCTCCAGATGTTAAGACGAAGTCCTGGAGGCAAAGCCTACCTTCCTAGCTATCTCTATAATATATAATATATAATATATACAGTAACGAGCAAAAGTGATTCCATGATCAACGTTTAACGTAAATAAGGTAAATTTTTTACTATTAAGCATATGTAGCAAAATGTTGGAACAACAAATTAAATCAAAAAGAAAAACAAGCCGCTTGTACTCAGTTCTTCATATTTTTGCTCTTCTTACTTTCTTATTAGCTTTTCACCTGCAGATTTACCGTTAAATGTCTTTTGCATTTATTATTCGTTGTCAGAATTCAGAAAATCACTCTTCCCCAAGTTTATAGTTGATTGTTGAACTTGCAACTTAGTCTGTAACTATTTGCTTAAAAATGAAGAAGCTGTCTTCTGATAAAGAAAATACTTGACAATACAATAGTACGTCTCCCTTACTAAAAGTGAGTGTACGACACGCACTATTGCTGAGAAGCTGAGTGAGCTGTCAAATAAGAATTCAACTAAACACTAATTGCCAGTGGATCTCCAACGTCTTATAAGACCCTTACAGATTCCTGTCCTAATTAGTATGAAAACATTCCAGTTGGAATTCCCAATTGGCAGCAATTCAGAGATCTTGTTTTCTCAATGGTTTTCCGCTTTTCGAATAACAGTGTTTAGTTCTGTTGTTTTTCTTTAGGTTTGCAGCGCCTGGTGGGAGGGGGCCTTGGAGGTCGGGTGGCGACGTTGACGTCGCTGCCCGCAGAAGTGCCGGTAGAGCTTTGCACATGCAGCTCTTCTTTGAATGTGTGTGTAAAAATGAAACAAATGCGTTCGCTCTCGTCTCGCGGTGTTTTATCCTCTCTCGACTTTACGCTCTCAACGCAGCTCTGTTTCGGTTCCAATCAGAGAGAAAGAGCGCCTAAGAGAGAGAGAGAGAGCTCTGCAAATTGGGTTCTCTCCGATGGTTCCCCTCGCTTGCAGAGACAGCTGCGGCCACGTTCCATTTCAAGCGTTTCGCATTACCCCGCCATTGCCCCTTAAACAGCGGGACCGTTCTCCCTCTATGTCTGTCTCTTTTTTGTTGCCTCTTTTAGTTTGTTTGCTATTTCCCCTTTTTCTGAGCAGCAGCGCATTGTGCTATCTCGCTTCTGCACCCAATCGAAGTGGGCTAGTTAGAGGTCTTGCTTTTTTTCCGCTCCAAATTCGCTTTAAGTTTTTGCGCTTGGCTTTTTTTTTTTTACTTTTAAGCATGTGCATGAGCGTTTGCAAGTGTGAGTGTTAATTGTTGTTGCGCCAACGTAGAGCGCTCAGGCAAAGGTGAGGGTGCATTGTCATATTCCATTTCGCTTTATTTTCGCAATCTTCAACTTGACGTTTATTTTTCTGTCCGCCCTCCTTCCTGCGCGTCATGTGCTTGTCCTCCAGTTCGATTCGATAGACTGTTGGGAGCGGGGACCGTGGAACATTTACATACATAAATATGTATGTATGTACGTACCTACATATGTACATATGTATGTATAATCGCTGTTCCACTGAATTGAAAAATTGCACAAAAATCTGATTAAGAAATCAATACAAACACAAGCCGGGTTGTAAATACATCATACATACATACATATGAGTTCATACACATATGTACATACATAAAACATAATAAAGATGTTGCACATCGAGAGGAAATCCCAAAAATAAATGTATAAATATCGCTTTTAATATATATATGTATATATATATGATATATCATATCGAACTTTAAAATTGGAAAATATCGAATTTAACTTTAAAATATGGATTTTATCGGAAGACAACGAAGAAAGCTATAGTCGGTAAAAGTTTTAAATGGACATTTATACAGAAATGTCAACCACTGCCAGAATATCCATACATAATTTTTTAAAATTTTTGTTTCCAGTATAGTCACATTAATTTTAATTGATCCAATTTGAAGGAATTTAGCAAATTCTAAAACTGATTTCGAAATATATGTACATATGTATGTACATATGTATGTACATATGTATGTACATACGAATGTAAATTCGCACACACACGATTTTTTTTTTTTTTTAATGAAAAACATAAACAAGAAAGGAAGAAGAAGAATTAATACATAAATTTTTGGTTTTAATGAAACTTAAACAACATTGAAGTGATCGTAACCACAGTTGCTACTTGTCTATTGACAAGTTCTTTTTAAACTGAAGCCGACAGTTACTATTCACAGCTTAACATGCTTTTTTACATCTGTCCATCGTTTCTATGGTGCACATATGTACAATGTACATTGTATGTACATTGTATGTACATTGTATATACACTACTGGCCGAAAAAATAAGTACATATGTACATATATGAGGTTTGTTTCAAGTCCTATAAAATTTAGGAAGAATGTCTGTACTTATTATTTCGGCCAACCCATTTTCATGCTTTTTGGAGAAAATTGATATCTGTCTTTAAATTTAAAATGTAAATTCCTTTTGACAGTTATTTTTATTATCTAGAATAAGTACGAAAACTAAAAATAAAGTGAAGTTTATTAAACAAATTTAATAAGACTTAAAACAAAGCTCTACGCATGTAGTTATTTTTTCGGCCAGTAGTGTATATGATATGGTCGTCTGATTTTCATATAATTTAAAAAAGAAAGACTGACACAATACAAAATGGCCATATCTCAAATTAGTAAAATATATTAAAAATCAGAGAAGTTAAAATTATGTTCCTACAAATTTTGCGATTGTTTCTATGACAGCTATATACATATAATATAGATATCACATTATAATAAATAAACAAATGTTTTTATTATTATCTCATTCTCTTAATTTCGTGTTTGTACAAAAATTTAAAACATAACTAAAATAAAACTTATTTTTAAAATGTTTCAAATAACAAATTATTTAATATACAATAACTTTTTATTTATTTTTTTTCTTTAAAAAAATTTAGATTTAATTAGGATAAGATTAAAAAGTCTATAAGTTGTATCAAGGAAGAGTATAAAGTGTAGATTGTAATGTTTTTATTAGAATTGTTATGTCAAGACCCGTTCAGGGACGTAGACTTAAAAAAGGTTTTTTTCTAATTACATATGTCACTAGCAACACCCATATCTGTGTTGACCAGCACCATTGGATGTTGCTTAACATGTACTTAGCAACATTTGACTTTATTTGTGTGTTGCGCAACATGTTGCTTAGACACGACTGTAGTTTCTGTCTTGGAATGTTTCTGAAACATTAGTAGATAAAGTACGCAAATTTGTTATGATCACCACAACATTTTGATATTTTAATATATTAATGTTTTTCACTGTTAAACGAAGAGAGATTTATATATATATAAGAGAGATTTATATATATATATATATATATATGTATATATTAATGTTTTTCACTGTTAAACGAAGAGAGATTTACTGCGAAATTAGCCAAGCTTTAGTTTAATAATTTAAATTCTGTAATCGATTATTTATTATTACATTATTTTTTAATATTTTATGAATGTACGACGAGAGGAATAACCTACAGCTAAAATTTATACATATATGTATGCATGTGTCCTGGCATACATATGATTTTTTAACTGCATTTAATCAATTTACCCAACCAATTTCTAGATAGCTACAAACCCAAATTCTTAGTTCGACAACCCTATAAAAATGTGGTAAAAATAAAAAAGATGCGGTTTTGACCAAATTATTATAAGAATTAGCATCTTTCCTTTGACTGATATATGATACGATACTTATTTAATTTAAACTGACTTTGTCCACCCAACGATGGATCCATTTCCGTGATCAAAATCAACAACCGAGTCGATCTAGTCCACCAGTCTATAGCAGTCATCATAATTTTCGTGGCTTCTGTTTTCCTTACGTTTTTCGTTAACTGTCCACTGCTATATAGGCAGCCCCGAAGCAGCAGTCATACCGATTTTACCAAATTTCAGGCTTAGTGCCTATTTTAATAAAATTCTTGTAAATTACACTCCTGTATCAGTATTCTTCAAAATGGAGGGCAGGCATCTTTCGAAGTGTGTTTTCCATTCTGGAAAGTGCCTTTACGGGCTGCTGGCCTGCGCTTGCCGGAACTCGGTCTCGATCCCGAAGGTCTGCTGCCTGAGCAACGTGGGCAACGGGGGAAAGTTCTTGCATGGCCATTACGAGTTGGGAAGCAGAATTCTATTGGTAGAGAAGATTCAGCCCCTTTGCCAGCAAAGAGGTACATGGATGTCCCACGGAGATATGCAGTCCTGCGGTCCCAGTACAGTTCTTAAGCTCGAGGAGAAGATACTTAGCATGACCCAGTATATTAGAAAGCTTCTCTGCCCCGTAACGCTGCAGACCGTACTCAAAATTCTGAATCCGTTTGGGCATTCCTGGAACATGCTCGAAGACCTAGACCAGGTCGAAGGCCTGGACACCTACGATGAGGATCACATGCAACTGGGACCCATAGCCGATTGAGTTCCCCATACGTGGTTGTTCAGAAGATGACCCAAATGAGTCCTGAGACGTTTTGCTCGAGATGCCATTTAAAAATCCCGTATGACAGTTGTATCTAAATTTGGTATAAATATACATTCCTAAAGAAGTATCGAAAATGTTCAGATTGATGAGTGGGATCTTCGCCAATAGTCTGCACGGCAGAGAATTTTGCTTTGAACGACTTTCCGCGTGCAGATGTCGGTCACCGCGAAAGTCTCCGCCGAGGGACTATGTGAAGAAGCCACTCGCAGTCGATTTGGGTAAGAGTTCGACACAGAAGAGTCGATTATTGGAACTAATGACGCAAGGATGTCCGTGTCCAAAGAACACGGCCAAGGAGCGATGGTTCTTCACCAACCAGCACATCATTTTGGGCTTAGCCAAAGTTTTGGAGCGTCCGCCCAACGCAGTGTCTGACTTTTTGTACCTGCTAACCCTGCAGAATTTTAGCCAGATCATGAAACCCGTGATGCCACCTGGAAATCATTGCAAAGTGCCGCTTGTTTTTCCGAACTCTTGCGAAGACTACATGCGCCTTTTTGACACGCAGGGAAACATCAGGAGTCGCTTCAGCCATGACAGCCTGATGCTTTTGATGCGTGTCATGCAGGCCTGGCTAAGAAAGGGAGCCCATAGTAACATAAAGCCGTTCGATCCCTGTTTCGAAGGCACACAATGCAGGCAACGCAACGGCATAAAGACCAGGAAAGTGGGCATCGATCGTGATTCTATGGCTCATCGAAATGGCAGGAGGCGGTTGCAAGAGTCGGACGCTAGAGCCTGTTTGGTCCGGTCTAAGCTAATAGGTTACTCCGCAAATGGTTGTGACTATTCTGTGGCCCAAGGAAGTTCCTTGCAGGGAAAGTTGTCGAGCGGCGATCCTGGCTATGTCTTCGGAACACACTTTTCGCCCAGGGATTCGAACGGCTGGCATCAGGACGACCCACCTAGCCACCTAAGAAAACTCGATGGCCCCGAGGATGAGCTGGCAGCAGAGCGAGCCAGGCGTCTTGAAGCCCTGCTCGTTCAGCTCAATGAAAGGACTTACCTCACTCGCGACGCAGGTGCACTGATAAGAGCAATCAAGGATATTAAAGTAGGAATACCGGCACGAAAAAAAGTCAAGTCTGCTATTGACAACAGCGTCAAGCTAATATCCGATAGCTACTACAAAATGCTTAGGGAATCTGCCACAAAATCACGCCTGAAGAATGCCTTAGTGCAAGGGAAGGACTCCTCGCAAGAAAGGCATAAGAAATCAAGCCCTAAACATGAACCAGAAGATAAGTCGGACGTACCCAGCGATCCCACTAACAAGGTATACTACGGTGCTCAGATCCCCGTGCTCATGCATGAGCCCTACAGCCAGGACAAGCCTTGGACCTATATGCGTCGGCACCCGCACCAGATGCGAATGGACTACAAGGGCAGCATTGTAGAAGGCAAAAACATTCGTCGCTACCGGCGCTCCACCATTGCTGGGCAGATGGAGCAGGCCCGGGCCCTAGGCGCAATATACTCCACTTATTCCTTGGAAAAGGACATCAATGCCAGCGCGACTGATGTGCCCATGTTCGGTAGAAGGAGCGTAGTCAGAAAATCCCTAGCCTCTGTAAAGAGTGAAAGCAATCGGCGGTAACTTTTCTCTTAGATTCGATAACAGCTAATTATTGCATCTCAATTCCATTCAGAAGAATATCAAAATTGTAATCGATAAAGTAATGTCATGGCCATCTCAAGTAATAAGTATTATTAAGAGTTGTAAAATAACTTGTCATTAAGCAAAATACTCAAACTAATTTTATTTCTAAGTTGATAAAGTGTTTCCAGAAAGTATGCTATGATTTGAAATGCAATTCCGACTTCTATGCAGTATTAGTGCTGGAAAAACATCTATGCTTACATCGATGTTTGTGATTACTTTCATAAAAACAATCGATTAAGAATCGATGTTTAAAAAAAAAAGGAAATCTATTTTATTCTGCCTAATTTTATTTGATATCATTCAGGAAATGGTGTTGTCTGCTCTTCGCTGGAGTGTTTGGATAAATAAATACTCATAAAGCTTGAACTCCAATTTAACATCGATGTTGGCCGATTTTTTTGAAACATCGATTTTATCAAATAAACATCGATGTTTGTTCCAGTACTACTGTATATAGTATCTATTGGTATATCTTAAATTAAACTTAGGAAGTTCAACCGATTAACAAATAATTTTCCAGCTTTTCTCTCAGACTTCCTTATGTAAATATGCACAAAGATTTCCACCAAACGGCAACGGACTCACCCCCAGGCATTGGCATTGGAATATCCGCTTAAGGCCGCCGCAACTGTGCTTTTAAATCATTTTGATAATGACACCCGATGGCAGTGGTCCCCAAGACCCTATTCGAGGGCGCTACAGGAGTATTATTTTTAGACAGCCACGTCGGCAAGTCGCGCCGTGTTTTGGTATACTTTTGTGATTTGATTTTTATGGCGTGTAGTAATTTGTTGGCTCGTTAAGTTTCTTTAATAGGCCTCCCTCTCTGGGAAGGGATTGGGAGCGATGCAACCAGTTCGGTGCGTATCGAAATTATCTTGCATTCTACCGGACTCTCGGCCCAATAAAACTCCACAATTTTTTACGAGCAGCCGAAGGGAAATCCAACCGAAATGTTTTTTATTGCACCAGAAACACTCAATAAAAGCGAATTATTAGTGTTGGATTGCTGTTTTCTGTTTTTGTACGGTGGCTCGCTCCTCGAATTCTATTCCATATTTTTATCCGTCTTTTTTTCGAGCTTTTGTTGCTTTTCATAATATTTTTTTCTGGGTGAGGTGTAAATTCTTTTTTATTACAACAAAATTTAAAACCAACACCTAATAGTTTCGGGTGTTCTTTTTCCTTGATTTTTAAGTTGTATATGTGTGGCAAGCTCTGTGTTTTTTTCTATTTGCTCTTTTTAATTGGTAATCTGTTGTTTATGAATATAGATACATATTTATTATGGCTTTCATATTTCAAGAATAAAGCCATTTGATTAATGGTTTTAATGGGACCAGTACTTGGTTAGAAGGGTCTTTAATTCTAGCACTAGGAATATTGTAACTATTAAATTGTAAAACCCCTGAACCTTGATGGATACCAGGTCTAACAAGACCATAAAACAAGGAGCACTGCGATCCTGAATGTGAATGACTATGTCCCTTGTCAGACACTGACATCATAATAGTGTCATCGTCATCAGGCCAATTTCACCCGGGGGCAGGGACTCAAAATGCCAAAAATGAATGCCAAAAGCGAGGCCAAAGCACCAGAGTCATAAATCAAAAGCGCCACATGACGAGCTAAACAAACAAAAACAATTAGAAATAAGCGCAAAAACTAAACGGATCCAGAGGAAGGGCTCCATATGCGGGGAATAAATAAACAATGCAGGCCAGGACAAGCAGGACACACGAGGACACCGAGCAGGACGAGAACGACAACGACAACGACAACATTTCATCAACGCAAACGAGCGAAACGTTTATCAACTGCTCAAATGGCCATTAAACGTGTGTGTGCACCGACATCAACGCCCCGAAACAGCAGTGGGATGCCAGGACTATCTGCCAGGACATTCATCAAACGATAAATTGAGTGAATGACTTCATGATGGCGATGCAAAAGGGGCGCACTTCCTCACTTCCTCGCAACACGCACGGACAATTGGCCATGTTGCAGTATTTGGCCCCGTCGGCAGGAGGCGGCAGGAGGCGGCAGGCGGGTGTGTTTGCCACGCCCCCTCGCCACCATGGCGAAAAGCAGATGGAAAACCCGGGCAAAAACCATTTTGAGTGACTGTCTGACTTAAATTGCCATCGCATCCTGTTTGCCAGAGGACGACGGCTCGCCAATTGTTTCTCTGATTGGTATTCATCCACGGACAGTTGGTGCAACCGGCCAGCTCCTCGTCCCGTGCCCTCGCCAACCATTTTTGGGTGATTTTCGACTGCGCTCTTGTCTTCGTCCTTAGGCCACATCCATCACCCGGCGCCTGACGTGACGTTAGTGTTTTAATGGACTCCACTTGTCTGCCTTGATCACAGGACTCCAGAGTCCAGAGCCGAGTCCAGTCCGGTCCCACGTCCTTTTGCTGCATTGTTTGTCTACGTGTTGGCAGCCGAGTTTGTCCGTCGGAGTGAGACTTTTTTATTGCAGCCCAGCTCGGAGTCATTTGCATCTTTATTTGAGTCAGAAGCGTATTTATCTTTCGCCTTGACACTGGCCTGTCGAGCACACAGAGGATCTTAAAAGGGGAGAAAGGAGAGCTATCATCGGAATAAAGACAAATCGATTTCCATCACAGAGGCACCAAATTTGCCTTTCTTTAAATATACAAAAATGTTAAGTTACGTAAATAAATTATAGCATTTGTTACCTACTTAGTTAGCCTCTCTAAGACTGTGCAAACCAGTGATGCTAGTAACTTGCAAGTCTTTAAAATTTCACTTTACCTTAATGAAAAGCCCATTTAGTCCCTATGTCTGTTAAAGAAGAAAGAAGTAATAATAATTTAATCTTTTATCTTTGTAAACCGCTAGATCAGGCAAATAATAATACAACCTATAAAGACCCTTTGTACACGTTAATATCTTATAATGTTAGCTCTTCTTAAAGACACCCACCCATAGATATTTTCCCAGCCTTGTCAAGTGATCGATACAAAAACGGAAATATTGGCAACTTTCTTGCAAACTTAAGGAGCTTACAGTGCTCCCAGAGATTGAAAGCTAGTCCACCAGCCTGGCGGTTTATGTGAGTCGACTTCCTGACGCTAATCGGGACGACGAGTTTTGAGACGATTTTAATCGCTGCTAATATGAACTAATTAGCATACTTAGCCTGCGATGAGTGCGATAGTGTGCGGTAGTGTGCGGTAGTGCGCCTCACAAGCTCCCATCAAGAGGCGACACGGCCTGAAATTATCTAATGAATTTTCACTTAATCCAAATCAAAAGTGGCGATCAAGATGCGGCATCCGTTTGCATCTGTTGACATCGTCAGCCTTGCAAATCTCATGCCTTGTGTTGTGCTGTGTTGTGTCGCTGGTTGTCATAATCCGATCAGTAGGCGAATCCGAGTGGCAAGGCCCCAGATCCCCGATCCCAGATCCCAAGAGCAGAAGCCACGCGGAGCCCGCGACGCTGCGCCAGCACCTAAGATATGATCGGTGGGGTCGTCAGCACGCAGTCCATCTCCCCTCCATTCCGCCACGCTGATCCGGCGAGTCGTCGCGTTGATTTTCATTTCATTCTCGCTAATAATTCGCTTGGCAGATATTCAGGCATAATTAGAGATTAATTGTTCTATTCATAATTGGACTTGGCGCGGTATTTTTGGACATTGGACAGGAAGGCGAAAACTACATCAACGTGGGGTCTCTGGCCTGTCACACCGTGCTAAATGGCAGGGACTGGGGACAGATGTGTGCATAGAGGGAACCGAATGACAGCAACAGTTGCCATAGCCCATGCGGAATCATATTTGAATATGACGAGCTGTATCAGTAGCAGCTCTCTAACGAAGGGTATGGGGAAAAATCTATTACTGTTCTAGGGGCTTCGAAAGCTGTACTGAAATAAGCTGTGAACTTGGTAACCTGTGGCATTTGGAAACTTAGAAAAATATTAGTTTCTTTAAAAGAGTTAAATTTCAAAATAATGTCTTCAGGAAGCTATATAATCTTATATATTATACAATTATAAATAGTAATTTTACTATGTATTCTGACCTACGTTTTTGCATTGTTATGTTAATGTTACTTATTCATGCTTTAATTAATAGTAAATGTTCTACTAAACCTAAAATGGTTCTTATTAAGATATTAATACTAACCTCAAGAGTATTCATTGATTAGTGCCACTCTGAATATGACATGCTCTTCATCAATCAGCAGACTTTTGTGGCCCATAGATTACAGGCAGCTGCTACCATCACTTATAAAATATGTTTTGGTAATTTACAAAAAATTTTATAATTATTAATATATCGATTAAATGAGATTATTTTTTACCTAATATATATGTATGCACTGTGGAAATTTCAACAGTACTGGTTAATAATATGTACAAAGGATGCTGATAAATGACCTGCTAATGGTCGAAAATTACTGTAAAGCCACGAATGGTGCTACAAGGCGCAAGTAGCCATGTGGCTTTTGGATATTGCAACCTCTTTAAACTGTTTTGAGACCCCTCTTCTTCATTTCGCTATCGAAAATAAGCCGAAAAAGATTTGCCAAAGATTGTGAGCTGATGTGAATGCAGGTTATCACATTTATACGAAAGAAAATAAAGTGTTCTTAACCTTTATCTGACCGCTAAATTTAGACACTGTCAAGTACAATACTGAGGTCTCTACCATTCTAAAATGGTTCCTAGCGTTTTTAAATGAAAACTTAAAGTAAGATTCTTGAATATTTGAAATTTTCTACTCCTTTAATTAACAAAGTTTCTGGTTATTAAGTCCGAATCTATTTTTTTCCAACAGAGTTGGGCCTTCCAATTTATCTCGTACAATCGCATCAAGAAAATTTGTTAAGCCTTTTCTCAACGGAAATTGACAAGAAGTGCTTGTGTTCTGACCAATTTTCTTGAATTTCTCTTGTCTTGGCTCGTGTAATTTTTTTTTATTTGCACATAAAGTTGATGGTTGGCTCGTTTGTTTGACATTCCGCAGGACATGGCCGAAACGGAGGACTCGCAAAGTGAAAGCAGCAGCATATTTTACTTCTCCTAATGACAGCGCGCACAAAATGTCTCCAAGGACCCCAGGACCAAG